ACACCGACCTCGTAAGTAAACTGCCAGGTAAGTCAACAGAAAACGAAGAAGGCTTCAAGGCAAGCAGGGGATGGTGTGATAACTTTAAGAGGAGAAGTGGCATCCATAGTGTGAGGCACGGAGAGGCTGCGAGTTTAGATGCTAAGGCAGCTGAGGTGTTTGTTCGCTACTGAGTTCCAGAAGCTCATGGTTTCCGAATATTACTTGCCAGAGCAAGTTTTTAACTGATGAGAAGGGGCTTTTTTGAAAAAAGATGCCAAAGATAACCTACATCACAGAAGAAGAGAATATAATACCCGGTCACAAGCCCATGAAAGACCGTCTCACCCTCTTGTTTTGTGCTAATGCAAGCGGGGATTTCAAAGTCAAGCCCCTGCTCGTGTGTCACTCTGAGAATCCATGAGCCTTCAAGAAATGCAAGGTGCAGAAGAGCCAGTTAAACGTTATGTGGAGGTCCAACAGCAAGTCTTGGGTCACTCGCATCTTGTTCGTTGAGTGGATCAACGAGGTCTTCGGTCGTGTAGTGAAGAAACACTCTTTAGAAAAGAATCTGCCACTTAGAGCCTTGCTGGTTATGGATAATGCTCCTGCTCACCCTCCAGGCTTTCAGGACGACTTACTGGAGGAATTCGAGTTCAGTAAGGTCAAGTTCCTTCCTCCCATCACCACTCCAACCCTCCAGTCCATGGATCAGCAGGTCATTTCGAACTTTAAAAAGCTTTACACCAAGCACTATTTCAGCAATGCTTCGAGGTGACCGAAGGAACAAACCTTACCCTCTGAGAGTTTTGGAAACATTTCCACATCATGAACTGCCTCAAGATCATCGATAAAGCCTGGGATGGGGTCACCAAGAGAATCCTCAATTCTGTTTGGAGAAAACTGTGGCCTGATTGCATTCTTGGACATGACTTAGAGGGGCTTGCTCATGAACAGGAGCCGCCAGTTGTCGATGAAATTGTGTCCTTGGGGAAGACCCTGGGACTGGAGGTGAATGAGGACGACATTCAAGAGCTGGTGGAGGAACATGGCCAGGAGCTGACCACCGACCAACTGATGGATCTGCACCGCGAGCAACAGCAAGAGGCTATGGAGGAGATCTCGTCTGCAGAGGAGGAGCAAAAGGTGGAGGAATCCCTCATGTCAAATGAGATTAGGGAGATGTGTAAAATGTGGGAAACAGTGCAAAATTTTGTAGAAAAGCACCGCATGAATAAGGCTGTAGCCGTGCAAGCAATGAATCTGTTTAATGACAATGCAATGTCACATTTCTGAGAAATCCTCAAAAGGAGGCAAAAGCAAGTGTCCTTGGATAGGTTCCTTGTTAAAGTTGCACGGAAAGAAAGATTAAATTGAGACAACAGAAAGCAGTGACTCCATTAGTGATAGTGAGAGTCATCCTACACAATAACCCTCCTCTCTCTTGTCTCCCTCACACCAGCCACAGAGGATTTCAAAGATGAGTGCCGGTTAATTTGTTTATTTTTCTTTATGTTTTGTATTTTCTTTATTATTTTGTATTATATTACAATATCGTAATCATTTTTATATTTTTGGGTTGTGGAACGAATCATCTGAGTTTCCATTATTTTTTATGGGGATATTCACTTTGATATATAAGTGCTTTGGATTACAAGCCTGTTTCCGGAATGAATTATGCTCGCAAACCAAGGTTTTACTGTAGATGAAATTTTTACATTGTGTTTTTTTATTTTGTTTTGTTTTTTAAGATTTTATGGGGGAATTTGGAGAGGGAATAGTGTTGGGGAATCAGGGAAAGGGAACAGACAAGTTGCTGTCCTTTTGTTCTTCAGTCTAGTTGTGGAGGACATCGCTTCACTGGCACATGTTGGTATTATGATAATTGCTCTCTTCCCAGCTGAGGCAGATTGGTCACCGGCCATTGGATGGCCACTCATGGCAGCTCATGGCAGCTCTCGCCAGCTGCCAGCCGCTCACGCTGGCTGCCAGCTGCTCACGGTAGCTTATGGCAGCCCACTCCATTGCCGGCGACTCATGGCAGCCCAGCTCCAGGTCGAGCTGTTGTTCACCATCTTAGCTGTAGAGGGCGCAGCATCATTGACCCTCATGTGGGATCTGAACCAGCAGCCCTGCTGCTCAGAGCTTGCGCTCCCAAGCCAGCTCTTAACCAACGAGCCACTCAGCTGGCCCTACATCGTGTTTTAATCATAATCACTTACCAGCCTTCTTGTTAACAGCTTCACAAAATCCATGGGCTTCAGTGAGTGTGTTCCATCTCACACACAATATTGTGCCTCTGCTACTCTTTTCTTCTAAGAGGCAGGAGGTGTCTTTGAATTTCTTCATGGGGGATTTCAGCCTTAACATCCATCCTCCCTCCCCCGAGAGGCAGCGTGGTGTAGGTAACAGTGAACAGAACACTGGAGCAAAATGAATTCTGAGTGGTTACTTACCACCAAGGAAATCTAAAACTGGTGTAAAACCTAGCAGGGTCCTTCCGTTTGAGCAACTTTAGAAAGAAACCATTTCTTTCTGATTCTGGAGTTGGAATAGGAGAGTCAGGTTTTATGACCAAACCCAGACCCGTACATCTATACAGACACTGGCTGTCCACCTGCTCTGCTTTTCCCTACTTCCCTTCTGGGTGGGCTGCTGTTTCCCTAATTCTCATCTGTAGCCCAAACTCATTAGGATTGAACCTTCCCATTGTTTAGAAACTCAAGTTGTGGCCCATCATTTTTAATATTGAGCTATTCTTAATTAAAGACAATTAAGTTAGAGGTAATAGTATAATTATTACATTTCTGTATTAATTTTAGTCTCTGTCTCTCTTTCTCTCTCTCTCTCTCAGAGCTAATAATCCTAAAGGATTGTTGGAAGTTAGAGAAGCTCTGGAAAAGGTACACAAAGTAGAAGACCTTCTTCCAATTATGAAGGTAAATTTATCATCAAAATCACAGCACATGTTTTTAGGAAAAAAATAAAAGTGCAGCACTGTTTTAGTTGTTAAATGGCATGTTTATTAATATTATGCTATAAGTGTTTTAAAATTTATAAAGTGTGCTACCTGAAAACACTAACATGCACACCCTGAATAATAACCAAAGTAAAATCAAACAGGCATCAGACTCAAACCTAAATCACATCTACAAGGAAGCAGTTGATACAGGAAATAAGAAAACTTAGAAATGCAAACAGTTGAAATGTGCTTCTGGCCAAATAGAGTGCCTGGTACTTGACTGCCTTTCCACCCTGTAATAATTATAGAACTGGACAAAATATAAGGCAGCTATTTTCAGGTTTTGGACAAGACTTGAAAGGTTCTTGAGAGAAGGGAAACATGAAGTGAGCCCCAAGGTCACCTCGGCTTTCTGTCTGGGTTTATTTACTAGTGCTCTGAACAGGTACATGGAGCCAGGCTGAATATTGCTGAGCTAAGGAGTACGGGTCTGGCTGGAAGCAGAGGGAACTGCACAGAATGGGCAGTGCCCAGAGGCTGCCCACAACTGAGAGCTGGCTGTGCACATGCAGTGAGACTCTGAGGCCCCCAGGGGCGTGGCTGCTGTGGGGAGGAGGGGCTAATGAGAGTTGTCAGAGGTTTTGCAGCTCTGATTGACGCTGGAGCTCTGGCCTCATCAGGATGACGGCATCCTGTGAGCCCTTTGGGCATTTAGTTAAGACATCAGGAAGGACACACTGTAGGTTTGAGACCATACCAGAGTGAGGCCCATATCCTAGGACAATTTCTAAATAGGTCATCCTAGCAAAGAATAAAGCCACGCCTGAAAGGATTAAATGGAGCTGCTAGTGATTTGATTGCCTGCTGAAACAGAGTTCAGTGCCCTTTAAAGGAAGGCAACATAACCTAGATTCCTTAATTATTAGATTAGTGTAAAAGTAGGCAAATGTGACTCATAACCAAGAAAAATAAAAGCAGTTAACAGGAACAGACGCTCAGATGATCCAGAAGTTGGAATTAGCGCTTTAAAGTCTTTGTTTCATAAGCATGTTCGAGAAGTTAAAGAAAAGCATGAATACAATGATGGAGAATCTCAGCAGAGAAAGGAAAACTATAAAAAAAACAAAAGAAAATTCTAGGACTGAAGTCAGTGGTCTCACATTCAGATTAGTAGTCAACTCACAAAACACATTGTCTTTAAGTTACCAGTAGGCTTACGTAGCAGGATGCCGGACAGAGAACAAGCCTGGACAGTGTCCTCAGTGTCATCATGAGGCCCAGGAAGGACATAGATGTGGCTTTTAGCACCCTCGCCTCTATTTACATGGTGAGATGGAGCCAGAGTAGGTGCCCGCACTCACAGAGAAGTCAGCTCACCGTTCTCCTGGCCCAGAGGCTGTCTTCCAGGTCAGGGGCTTTCATGAGGGTCTATCATGGCTTCTAGGGGAGGCCGGCAATGGAATCCTACTCGGACATAAAAAGGAAGAGGAAAACTGCTACACACAGCAACAGGGGTGAACCCCAGAGACATGCTGAGCAAAGGAAGCCAGGCACAAAAGAGTGATTCCATTTATAAGGAGCCTTGGCTGATCTACAGGGATGTCAGCAGTGACTGCTCATGAGAAGTGGGATTTACCTGACGGGCAGAAGGAGCTTTCCAGAATGATGGAATACACGCCATCTTGATTGCAGTGGCGGTCACATGGGTGTATACACATCAACTCTACCTGTGCAGTTCATTGCTGATAAATGTACTTCAATAAAAAGTACATAAGTTAATTTCCTGAGAGATTTGAGCCTGTATAAGTTAGATAAAAGCAATAGAAAAGAAATAATCAGAATTGTCATAATTAAAAATTCTCAGCTAGACTAGCAGATAGAAGACAGCAGAATGTCAAATATATGAGCTGGAAGTTCAAACCAAAGAATTCTCCCAGTATGTGGTATAAAAGGACAAAGAAATATAAAATATAAGAGAAGATGAAGCATGAACCTATGTGATAGAAGCTCAGAAAGGAGAGACGATAAAGCAGCAGAGTTCACTGCGGAAACAATAGAAGGAAAGCTGTAGAGAAATGAAAAGATTAGTGTGGGGGCCACTAAGTGTTCATCAGGGTGAATGTTCAAACACTGACACTTCGACACATTCTGATAAAATTTGGGGACTTCGAGGTGAAAGACTTCTTTAAAAAAAGCTACGCATAGAGTTACCACATGATCCAGCAATTCCACTTCTAGGTATATATCCAAAAGGACTGAAAGCAGGGACTCGGGACATGTTTCTACACCCATGTTCACATTAGCATGATTCACAGTAGCCATGAGATGGAGGCAACCTAGGTGTCCATTGATGGAAGAATGAATAGGCAAAATGTGGCCCATCCATACAATGGAATACCATTCAGCCTTAAAAAGTTAGGAAATTCTGACACCTGCTACAACATGGATGAATCTGAAAGACATTATGCTGAGTGAAATAAGCCAGTCACAAAAGCCACTCACAAAAGGACAAATACTGTATAATTCCACTTACATGAGGTACCTAGTGTAGTCAAATTCATAGAGACAGAAAGTAGAAGGTTGGGTGCCAGGGCCGGGGGAGGGGAGAAAGGGTATGAAGATGACGAAAAAGCTCTGTGAATGGCTGGTGCAGATGGTTGCACCACAATATGAAATGTACTTAATGTCATTGAATTGTACACTTACAGTGGTTAAAATGGCAAACTTTATGTTGTGTGTATTGTAAGAGGAGAGAGAGAATAAACATAACATCTTAAAGCTTCCAGGAAAGCATTTTCTTAGGATTCTCCTAAGAAAGGAGAATCCCACTGATACCTGACGTCCATCCGACAATAGTGGATTCTAGAAGACAGTGAAGGGAAATTTCATTTGCACCAGCTGTACCAATGTTCAGCTGCGAGGGTGAAATAAAAACTATTTTAAACACACAGTTATTCAGAAAGTTCATCAAAGATCCTCTTTGTCAGAATGATTTAAGGATGTAAGTACTTTCACAAATGAACCCAGAAAAGAAAACACAAGCTATTAGAAATAGTGGTGAACAAATAAGCCAAGGAAATGAATTGTTAATGCATAACATTAAAAAAAATAAATGTCTGAAATTAAAATTCTAGATAATGTTAATATCAGAGTTTGAGGAAAGGAGAGAAAAGAAGTAAAAATGTTACTAAGGTATTTGTTGTTGTTGTTGTTTTTTCAGTGAGAGACTATAATCACTGACTGACCCCTGATATTGACAGAAAAATACAAGTTTAAAGATCTATATTAAAAATTAAAAAATAGAGATGGGATGTATAATCTGCTAAACCCCTAGAAGTTAGGAAAAATGGAATAAAGACAACGAAGTTCAACTAAAAGCTTACAAAAAGAGGAGGCGTAAAAATGACATACGAATACATAGGAAATGTATGTAATGGCAGTGACAACTCTCAACATGACATTAATAATCGATCTCCTTATTGCAAGACTGAGGGTCTCATGTTGGTTTTTAAAGTCCAGCTATAGTCTGCTTACAGGAGACCTAACAAAATGACATTTAAAAAATTGAAGGGGGAAGGTGTACCAGACAAATGGTAATGAAGGGAAAAGTGGGTATGGCAACGTCAGTGTCAGAAATGTTTGAATTCAAGGAAATGGACATTTGAGGGGACAGAATTATATTGTTTAAAAGTATAATCCATCGGGCCGGCTGAGTGGTGTGTTGGTTAAGAGTTGGCTTGGGATGCCAGCTGTGAGCATCAGGGCCCCGGTTCGGATCCCACATAGAGGGCCGGTGACGCTGCGCCATCTTCAGCTGGGATGGTGAGCTGCGGCTCCACCTGGAGCTGGGCTGCCATGAGTCGCCGTGGGCGGCCACCCAGTGGCCAGCAGGTGGCTGCCTCAGGCGGGAAGAGCGCAATGATAGTACCAGCATGGGCCAGTGAAGCGATGTCCTCAGCAACTAGACTGAAGAACAAAATGACAGCAACTTGTCTGTTCCCCTTCCCCGATTCCCCAGCACTGTTCTCCTCCCCCAATTCCCCAATAAAATCTTTAAAAAAAAAAGCAGAATCCATTCAGAATTTATAACTTGATGAGGATTTTTTCCACCTAGGGATATATAACTACCCAAAAATATGCACGTAGCAGGTAGATTTGATTTTTTCAATTAACAGTGTGAACTTTGATGTAAAACTTCAACGTTTAGTTCTCCTTATAGCTACAGCAGATAAGATTAATATACAGCAAATAAAATTTAAGAAACTTATGTGACTGGCCAACGCCTGCCCACTTCTGAGGAATGAGCAAGAATCGTGTCTGAACACCAGGGTCCACTCCTGCCTCGCCGGGCTTGGGTGGCCTTTCAGGGCCTGGGTCCCTCACCCCGGCTTCGGCCTGCTGAGCAGCAGTAGTTCTACAGACCCACCTGGGGAGTCATGGCGAGGGTCTGGTGAACCGATGAGTGGCTCTCAGTCTCCTCAAACCCACTGTAGTAACTCAGTAAACATGCTCAGATGCTCTCTTTACTGCACTAAGAAATTCATAGAGTATATTTCACTTACTCAAAAACTTTAAAAAGTCAACACAGTGCTGTAAAGGAGTTCTACAACGTAGTTTGTTCGTCAGAGAACAGAGCGCACTTCAGTGGGTCACCATTCAGGCTTGTCTCCGCAAGAAGCCATGAGAGCTAGCGAGTTGCTTGCACCTGTGTGTAAAATCATGGTGAACGTGACAGCTGTGAATGCAGCCCGTCCCGGTGTTATTTGGTGACACGGGTATGATGAGGTACCACGTCGTCGGTTTCTGGAATGGTAAACCATGCTTAGTAAAGTTCCAAACGATGTATAACACACCCTTTCCTCAATTTACATGCTTTTGAATTCCTTGAAAGTTCAGTGTGCATTAAAACTATGTAACAAATATTTAGTATATAAGTGGAAAAGTCTGTTGCAGGCAATTATTAAGTTATAAGCAGATCCTTCGCCTGCATGAAAGCCCAGTGGCGTGGAAAGGCACGGGTCATGTGGACTGCCCTACACTGTGGGGTGTCCAGGAGTCTTGGCCCCCACCCACCTAATCCCTGTGGCCACCAGACTCTCCCATAAATTCCCCAGATGCCCCGCAGGGGGCACAGTGGCTCCAGGGAGGGCTGCTGTCTCAGTGTTTAATCTGTAGCTTTCCTGAGGGTATTTTAGGTATTTAAATTTACTGTATCAGGCAGAATACACTTATCAGCATAGGGAGATTTTGATGTATTATATATGTCTTTATTTAAAAAGAAAAGCATAATGGACCACAGTCACTCGGTGCAGCCGAGTGGCTGAGCGTCGTGTGCCCACCTCCCCGTGTGGTCACTACCTGGCTGTGCTGCCTGGCTGGAAGTGACCTTCCACTGCAGCACTGTACACCTCGCTGTCCCCACGGTTATGGATAAGTGGGTATTTTTAAAGGCACGTGCAGAAGTATATAAAAACAGCCTTGCGTTTAAAGTGCTCGGTGAAACATGGTGCTACAACAGCTTCCACTGAAATATACAATATAGTTCTAATAAAAAGCCAAGTTAAAATCTCCCTCAGCTCCCCTTGAGTAAGCTTATCAGCAAACAGTGTGGACTGGAGGTCACCAAGGCCTGGCCCCATGTCCCCACTCTGCCACTGCCCGCTAGCTCTGCCTGGACCTCACCAGGCTGGTTTCCTCTGTGAGGTCGAGACCTTGACATTAAACAATAACTGGCCGAGAGTAAGTGTTCACACACTGCTTTCTCTAAAAATCCTTTCTTCCTGGAAGCATCTCCTGTCTGGTTCCCGCTGCTGGCTCTGCCCACCTGTGCTGTCCAGTCACCCCATCGCCCCCAGACCTCAGTGAGCACCTGCTGGGTTCAGACGGCCCCAGCGTCTCATGGGAAGCACGGCCTCCTCCTGTTTGGTCGCTGCTTCTCTTATGCATTTTAGGATAAATCCTAGCAAGAGATGGTGATACTAAATAACTGAATCTGGGGAGGCTTTTTCTGGAGTAATGACAAAACCTGTTTATTGGCATTTTGGTTTTGTCAAAAATGTTTTAAACAAAAAACCGACATCTGAAACTGCCTTCATGTTCGTCACCCCCGAGGGTCGTGTAATTCCTGTAGCCCTCTTTTCTGTGTTCTGCAGAGTTGGAGTGTATGTGCATGTGTGTGTGTGCATGCATGCATGTGTGTGTGTGTGTGTGTGTGTGTGTGTGAAATTCTCCAGTTGGTGTATAGAATCTTGAGTACTTTCAGAAAAATCGGACTCCGTTCTGAAGGAGCACGCGGGAGCACAGGTGCTCTTCTGAGTTATAGGATATTGGGTACAACTCTTCTGCTAAGAACCCCAGTTGCTGCCGATGAGATAACAGGAGAAGAAACCCAGAGAGAGCTGGTGGAGGCCAGCAATGCCCCTGGCTGGTGAAGGGAGACTGTGAGCCCCTTGTGCCCAGGTTCTCTGCTGGCCTCTCTTAGGCACCATGCGGAATGTAATGGCCTGGGACAGGCAGAGGTGTCCCCTGTCACCAATTGCCGGGTGTCTTCATCAAGGACTTCTGTGACCCTTCCTAAAAACATGGAAGGCGGAGTCAGCGCTGCAGAGTAACAGTTGGGTGTTTACGATGTCTTATACCCTGGGTAACGTGAATTTTCTTTTTCCCTGAAAGCAGTTTAATACTAAAACGAAGGATGGGTTCACTGTGAATACAAAAGTCCCCAGCCTTAAAGATCAAGGGAAGGAATATGACGGCTTCACGATCACGATCACAGGAGACAAGTACGTAACTTCCTGAGTGTGACTCTGCAGACTCGGTGGGGCTGGGGTCTTGCCTGCGCTGCTGCCCGGGCTCCGCCATCTGGAAGTGAAAATGACCACACCCCGTGTATAGCTTTACCTGTTACTGTTTTCTACGTGTCATTTAGAGTATTGCATTGCAGATACCTGTTCTGGTGGTGCTAAATTTAACAGCTTTCTGGACATTAAGTGTAAGGTCTAATGTGGTTTGCAGGAAATCGTCTTCTGAATTCGTGGAGTTCATTGTGGGGAAGGCTTTTCCTCAGCTGTCTGTCTGTTTCACCCCATGCTTTGCCCCCCTTGCTTGGGCCTCTAACCCTTCACGTAGACTCACACTGGGTGTCCTCTGCCCGTCTCCTGGTGCCTTCCCACGGCTTCACCGGGGCTCCTAAGGCTCCACTCCACTGGGCACTCCCCTGGCTCCAAAAACCACTCCAGTCCATACCTGCCATTTCCTGTGGACACTGAAACCGAGCGCCCCTGCTGAGCATTCGAGGCTTTCTGGAATGCAGCCTCCAGTGGTGGTGCCTGCTCCAGCCGAACCTGATTGCTCTCCAAGCGTGGCCTGCTTATTCCCTGAGGTCGCCTCCCATCCTGAAGTCCACGACCCAAGTCCACACCCCTTCTTCCAGGAAGCTTTTCTTGTTTTCTTCCTTGTCTTCCAAGTTAGAGCTGACTTCCCTCTGGTGAGCCGCGATGCACTGTGTTCCGGCCCTAAGATCTTCGCAGCCATTTGTGGCCTTGTGTCCACCTTCTTCCTTGATAAAGCAGCTGTGCTGTATTCTTTGCAGGACCTAAGACTGCTCAGCATTTTGGCTGCATACAATAAATACCTGTTGCCTCAAATTTATATCCTCCACAGAGCCTCGCATGGAGCTCAGCAGGCAGCAGAGGCTTAAAAAAAAAGTTCCTGAACTTTCTTTCTGCACTTAGTTCTGCCCCTGATCTCTGGTCATAATAGTGTGGCTGTCTGATCAGATACTAAGCGGCCACTTTAATGCATTCTTTTCTATGTGCAGTTTCCTCCTGTATTCACTTAAGCTCATATAATGAGTACATGTGGTTAGACGGAGCAAATGTCCTATTTTGTGAAGAAATTGCATCCTTCTGAACCACGCTTCATCTGTCTGTGGTTAGAAACGTGGCGGCCATCCTCACGCATGGCCTCTGCTGCGTCAGTAGCTGTTTGCTTCACTTTTTACTTTCTGTGTTTGGCTGTTTGAATTGTGTAACACATGCCTTTGACGCACGTTCTTGTATTTTTAGGATTGGCAATATACTATTTTCCGTGGAAACGCAAACCACAGAAGAAAGAACACAATTATATCATGCTGAAATAGATGCTCTTTATAAAGATCTAACAGCGAAAGGGAAAGTCCTCATCCTGTCATCAGAATTTGGGGTAGGTTTTGTTTGTCTTATCCGTGCTTTCTGTGTTTCCTTTGTAGACTTTGTAAAGACTCTGCCCTTTATGCTTAAATCAGCTTTAAGTGAACTATAAATACTTCTTTCTTAATATTCTTATAGAAACAATTCCCATATTTAGTAACTACAGTAACTGAGGAGGGGAAATGATAAATTTATTATTTACTATATACAGAGGGTGCCAAAAAAATGTATGCACATTTTAAGAAAGGAAAAAACTGTGTTAAAATTGTAATAATATATACCGATAACAAAAGATGAATACAAGTCACATTTGACTTCTGCAATTACAAGAGGTGCTCACAGTGGTTACCACTAGTGTCCAGACACTTCCGATTACGGTGAACTACTGCTTGAGCAATGTTGACCAAAGTGTCCACTTGTATAGCTGCACGTGCCGTTTTAATTTCTTCACACAGTACCATGCATCTCAGTCTTATCACAAATGTGTGCAGTTGTTAGCTGTGTTGGAGGTTCTGTTGCATACTCATGCCTCCATTGTTGTTGTACTTCCATGATGTTCTCGAATTTCAAATACCACTTCAAAATGGTATTGCACTCCTTGAATGACAACCATGCTTCTGCCGTTTTCTTTGACTGTCCTGCCTGTCTCATGGTGACACTAGCATTCGTTTGATTAACACCATCTTTTGAGCGAATATCATACTACACATTGCTACCATAATTCAATTCAACTTCAAAAAGTAATGCATACATAACCTCTCTTAAAATATGTATACATTTTTTTTGGCACCCCCTAGTATTATCCTAAGTTTGGGCTTTGTCATGATTTAAATGGAAAATTGAAAATGGCCTGTGCTGCATTTAGCTGCCTTCCCTGGTCCGTGACCCCTGCCCTCCATTGCCCACTGTGACTCAGGGGGACTCCTTGGAGGGAGGGTCTAATATGTCACCTTTGTGGCCGCAACTGCCACTATGACGCGAGTATTGTGGGCATTCCTTCTGCGTTCTGGAGTGGATGCCTGTGACCTGAAAGTCACCTCATTTCTCTTGCATTTAACCAGTTCTTACTATAATTAAGCATCCTAAGTTTTAAACGTAATTGAGCATATTTGTCACCTAAATCAGTGCAGAGCCGGGCTTATCAGAATCTTTTAGGGGTAGGGAGGCTTGTAGAAAGCATACGTGTATTCGATATTAATAAGTGCTTTGTTTTATTTTAATCTCAATACATATTTTGACATTACAAGTAACATTAAAGGAGACTGAGATTTTTATATTTATTGGAAAAACAGCTGGAAAATCTTGCGCTAAAACTGGACTGTATGTATACCCTTTCTTTAGAAAAATGGTGGAAGCGCATATAAAATATTCAAGAATGTGAGAAGTAGATTCTTGTAGGAGAGGAATGAAACAATCCTTTTCCTGATGTAAATGATTTGTATTTGTCTTGTCACCTAATAAAAACCTAGTTTGTGATCTAGTGTTGAAGTTCATGAACACGTGCTTTTTTTTTTCCTAGGAGGCTGATGCTGTTTGTAACTTAATCTTATCCTTAGTTTATTACTTTTATAATTTAATGCCACTCTCTCGAGGATCCAGGTGAGTGATACCCTATAATTTAAAAGTTTTCCCTTTGAAAACATGTGTTTTGCTTAAACTTCCTTCTGTGGTTTGTGGGTACAAAAGTAACCCAAACAATGACAGGAAGCCCTTTTTTGGTTTTTCAATGTCCACCCAGAAATCCCGTCCTTGATCTAGCACATCATCAGAGGAATTAAGAAAGGTATTTGTAATGTAGTATGCTTGACTTTCACAGGCTTGGGCTTCATTCGCTCAACAAAGATGTATTGAAGGCCTACTGTGTGCGGGCACCATGCGCCCTGTATTTTAATTTGTATATTCACCCAGACTGTTACCCTGCCCTCTTCTCCCCGTTTCTCCAATTTCTGGCCATTAAGTAACCTTTAGCCCTAATGCTTCTGAGTCTCCAGCCATTCCATACTATTTTTATTATTATGAAAAAATTCTTGCTTTTTAGTTTTTAGATGTCATTAAAACAAGGGCAGTGTCTATAGAATTTTCTTTCTATTCCCTTTTATCCGGTATTGTGTGTAGTAAATCACGTCGATGGCATGCGCTGTGGCTAGCACATATTTGAATTGAAGATGTTTTGGCTAAAATAATGGACTTGAATGTCTTTATTTTTGATTAATACTTTAAAACTCTCCTAAATGTGGTAGCAAATATTGTTATAATAGTAAAAAGGCATAGAAACAAAACGGGAGCATGAATATTGGAATACCAGCCTAATTACTGTCAGTTGTGTGCCCCGAGTATGTGGTGAGCACCAGACCTGCTCACACCACCTTTCGTGAACCCTTTCGGGGGCCCTGTGCTGGTCCCCAGCTCATCCTCATAGCTCAGTGTGACATACAAAGGAAGTCCAGCTCCTGTCCTGCTCAACTCAGTCCCTCAGTCCCTACTTCTCTTCAGTCCCTAAACCCTGTTGATTCTACCTACAAACCCTTTTTCTCTCTTTCTGATACTCATAGCGACTGCCTACATCAGACCCTTGTCACCTCCTGACACAACCTTTCTAACTAGTGTCCCAGCTTCCAGGCTTTTCTCCTTCCCCTCTCTGTGCCCCAGTTCTGCTTACCTGTTAGCCTAAGTGCAAACTCGGTGGCGTCATACCCAGTGCCAGTCCCTACCCGTGCTGGTTTACCTCGGCATGGTCACCTCCCTCTTGCATCGGCCCAGTCTCTACCCCGTGGCACTTCTGAGGGTCTTTCCGTTGGCCCTCTCCACCACACCTCCCTGCCTCTCCTCACACCTTCGTGTCCGCACACGTGCTTCCCTCCTTGCCAGCCCGTTTCACAGCCTCCTGTGCTTCTTGGGCCTGCCCTGGAAGATGCAGCTCGCTCGGCCTCTGTGAGGTCCTCCCTGGTGGGCCACCCCCAGGAATGACTCACTCTCTTGGTGTCTGCCAGCACATGCTGTCGTCTCCCCGGCCAGGCTGCTCCTCTCAGAGGCCAGGACCTCGTCTTAGTTATCTTTGTCCTGGGGCACCTCGCACGGGGGGCACACAGTCGGTGTGTGATGAAGATGTCAGAATGCAGAGTGAGTCTGGCTCTGTACCAGGAAGGAAACTGATACAGCATATCAGTTTTCAAACCAGCCTGTTAGTGCATTCTGGGAATGTGTTCTGCTTTTCTTGGAGGGCCCAAAGTTTTTAGTGCATAAATGATAAGATTAATATGTTTGTATTTACAAAGTATGCTGTATATGCATTTTAAAGCCAAGCCTTATGAAGTTGTTAAACATAGAAGCAGACACATTTCCTAATTCATTTCACAAGAATCAAAAAACCAAGTGGAAAGAAATGTCCTAATTAAAAGAAGCAGGGTTTTCCTGAGAAAAAGAATATCCTTAGTCACTTTCACCCTTAAATTAGTAAATCAGTAAATATTTTTATTAGTAGTAAGTTAGTAAATACTTTTTAAAGCATGAAAATATTCTTATGTTTAATGCCCAAAGAATTCATAAAATAAAAAAAATTTCACCTTATGTGATGGGAAATCCATGGTTAGCGCTTACATGGTAACTGTAGATGGACTGACGTGTAATGGTTCTTTATTTAAATAGTGTGATAGCTTACTCAGTGATCGTGGGAGCACTGATGGCCAGTGGAAAAGAAGTAGCAGGAAAAATTCCCAAAGGGAAGGTACGTTGGAGCTGAAGGAGAAAACGGTTGGTTTTGTTTAAATTTCAACCAGTGGTTTTTGGGCTTAAGATCCATGAGTTAAATAGATCTCAAAGTGAGCCTTTCTCCTTATTTAATCACATTCCTAAATTTCTTTCTTTTTCAGTTAGTTGACTTTGAAGCTATGACAGCCCCTGGTTCAGAGGCCTTCAGCAAAATAGCTAAAAGCTGGATGAACTTGAAAAGGTAATTACTTGAGGAGGGTCAACAAGGATATTACAACTAAATAGGGAGAAAGAGACTTCCTGTTAATTGTGGAGCGATCTGACACTGGAATTGTACTCATTTCTATGACTTACTATTTGTACAATGAACTTAATTTTTTCAAGGTTAAAATTGTTGTTTAAGACACCTTAAAGGGTAAATATATGAATAATAAATAAAAAATAAGAAGCTAGTTTGTGAAAGAAAGTTTCAGATGTCTAATTTATATAATCTGATAGTCATTTCTCATGGCTGATTTGCCCTTTATCCCAGGCTCTTACGTTCAGTATTCAGGAGTAAACTAGAAAACTGAGTAAGCCGAACCCTTTTTAGACTTTTTCTGCGTGGTAGCACTTTGCTCAGCTGCATTTTCCTGCACTCCAGATTCTGAGAAAGTGGTACTGGACCTTTATTTAGGTGGAGAATCCCTGTGAGTCAGGAACTCTCAGCACACATGACCCCTGACAGTTACTGGATGAGGAGCCCGACAGACTCTGGTCTTTCCTGGCTCTCGCTTCCAGAAGCACTTCAGAGGAGTGCGTAAATTTGGGCTGAAACTAAGCTCACAGATGCTTTTATGGTTAATGAAGAGGAAGCACGTTTCACTACTTGCCCTTATTTATTCTTGCTCCTTCTCCATGTTTTTTTGTTTTTTTTACGTTATAACCACCGATTTTGCCTTTCACGTCTATTTGACATAGCAACAGCTCCAAAAATTGCTGGGTAATTTGTACTCGGTTTAAAAAGGAGGAATTCATGTCTGTAGGGCACTCTTGTTCAGTCTGTAACTCTTCCATTAGCTTTGTAATGAAAATGTCTAACAGCTACGCCTTTTTCCAGTGTATTCCTGTTTCAGGCTTACTACTTCACACGTGTTTAGTAACATGAACATACAGTCAGAGATCTTGCTTCTGTTTCTTACATGATTTTACAGTGTTAATTTTTCAACAGTCCTTTAAGGAAAGAATAACAACACCACCTTACCTTGTGCCGTCACCATTTCACAGTGTACTTTGATGTGTGTTACCTCATTCCACACTCATGGTGACTCCGTCAGTTGCTATAAACAAGGGGAGTGGAGCTTAGAGAGGCGAATGAAGCTAATAGACAGTGAGGCAGGCCCTGAAACCTGGTCCTCTGATTCCAAGTTTGGTGTGCACACCAGTGGCACATGGACACATAACAGTAATGTGTGAATCAGAGTTTAATTTTTTTCCTGAAGACTCTGGTTTTACTTCTAAACAGCACATCAGATGAGCCTGCTGATACTCTAGTCCATTGCTTAGAAGGATCTGTTCTGTTCCGTTCCCACCTCATCCTTGCCTTTGTAATAATTTGTATGGTGTTCCAAAGTGAATATTATAATAGAAATAAATACAACATAAACTTTGCCCTGGTTTTGTAAAATTGTGCTATTGTTCACATCTCTTCTTTGTGTTTTTCTTTTTCAGTATTTCACCTTCTTATAAGACTCTTCCGTCAGTATCTGAGACGTTCCCAACGTTAAGATCCATGATTGAGGTGCTAAACACTGACTCCTCTCCACGTTGTCTTAAGAAACTCTAGTTACGCTGTGGTATTTACACAAGTAAAGGGCCGGACCTCTTGCTTCTTAAGTTATTTTTTAAAACATGGAATTATAAAGAAATTAGGTCCTTTATTACTTTTGATACCAATTTTTGATAGGAATTGAATACTTGAAATCATTTTCTTTACTTTCTGAACCATAACAGAAATCATGATGAAAGAAGGTTTTTGGGGGAAACAAGCTATAATGTCGGAGGGAAGGTATGTGTATTTGCCAGTGACCTGTTGGTTTCCACTTACAACGTCATACAGCTCCTTATGCAAAAAAAACGTTGACTTCAAAAACCAAAAATTGCAATTAAAAGGAACAAAACCAACAACAAAACAAGATTTGCATATTTTCAAAGACTTTATTTTTATGCACATTGTGAGAGGGTGTCTTGTCTTCGTGTGTGGGTTGGCTGCTTTATTTGAACTGTGAGAGACTTGTGGGCCATCGGTGTGCCACAGTCCCCAGAGCAGGGACACTGCTGAATGACACAGACAGTATTTGCAAGTGACCCAAACACTGAATTGTCGAACCGCATTTTTTTTCCGTCTTGTTGGAACAAATAAACAGGTGATTTCTCTAAATCACCAGTTTTTGACACTGGATTATGTATGGGTTTTTTTGTGTGTGTGAATTAGTTTCACTTTCAGGTATAAGAACATTCAGAAAATTACTGACTTTTTTTTTTTTCCAGGCAGGGTAAATGTCTGTGAGTAAAATTGGTTCATTAAACTATTGCCATTTATAAATCGTTTTCATTTTTCTTTGATTTTTGTTAAAGAGGTAAACTGTTTACTGCTTTCTCTTACTTAGTTTTTGTCTCAGCTTCTCATAAGCGTAGCACAACACGCCTCAAGGTGCCTGCTCGTGGGAGGTGTACTAATGATGGACGTTACCGATTGTCTGCAAGGCTTGTGGAATGCAGCTGTTTGGCCAGGTGGGACCTGCCCTTTGGACAAATGCCATCCTGGGTTCTGACATGGGCTCCAAAGCAGCCACCGAGATGTGGCTCGGCTCTCACTCATCTGGTAACCATTGAGAGAGATGGGGAGAATAGAACTTTCTGCCATGATGAAAATGCTCTGTATCTGCCCTGAAAACAGACAGCCCTCTCCCACTTCTGTGTCTGACAGAAATTAGAGTGGGAGTCCTGTGCTTTTTAAGTAAGAGGCTTGGTTTTGAGGGTTTAGGGTAAAAATCAAAGAGTTTGTTGGCAACACAAGGAGACAAATGGGAGAGAAGAAAATATCTCCAGAGTGCAAGCTCTGGGCAACAGCAGTTCGCGTCCTGGCCTGAGCTTAGTTGCCGCTGAGCTGCCAACAGGTGGCAGGATGGCTCAGCTAAAAAAAAAAGAAGAAGAAAGTATCTCCAGCACCAGCTTGAGAAGTTTTCATCCATTACAGATTGCAGGGGTCTGGGCTTAGGCCTGGGGTCTGTGTTTTCGCCGGTACCCACTTGATTCACACACAGGTGGTCTAGGAACCACACCTGCGAAACATGAAAATCTACCTCGCTGCCCTGGGGGTTTGCCCCCTGCCATTGTGAAACCAAGGACATGCCTGAATATTTTAGTTTTAATTAGAACTGGGGTAGTCCTTTTTTTCTTCAACCTGTGTTCCCGTAAATATAAAAGTTACTTCAGTTCTACAATTTTCCAAGCCCAAATTTGACCAGTTCTAACAGTCCACAAAAGTTGGGTATGCAAACATGAAACTAATAATATTTCCCTGAATATAATTTAGTTTACAAGCTCCAATTTTTACTGCTAATAGAAAATTTCACCTGTGCCGGTTCAAGCAGATTTGGACATTTCCGGTTTCAGACAGGCCCCCTTCGTCTTCCAGGGGACAGCCTGAATCCCCGAGCCGCCGCTCAGATGCACATGCCCTCTGCCCTGGCCACCTCCACGGAGGTTTAGCCCTGAGTTGGCACCGCCTGTGCTGACCCGCAGCATCTCCTGCCGCCGGGGTCCTCTGCCTGATGGGGACGCTGGGCAATAGCACATACACTGCCTGTTCCGTCGCCTCTTCCAGGGCCGCTGGGCTGTCACCACGGCAGGACCCTGGGCTGCCCAGTCACTGCGGAGGCTCGCTGTCAGCCATCGCCCCCGTTCTCGGGCCTTCTCTGTGAGGTGTGCTGCCATCTTTCCCAGGGGACCATAATCAGAGGCTTCTGTCCCTTGGGGGAGGGGACCTTGGAGCTCACACATTTTGAGCATTGTGGTTGGTTGGCATTTTTCCAAGTGTTGTCCACTATCTGCTCATTTAATCCTCTCAAGAGCTCTGTGAGGTAAGCACTAGTGTTATCCCCACTTGGATGACTCAGGTGGAGGAGTGGCTTATTCACCTGGCACTGAATGTGCCCGAGTCCGTGCCATCTAGAAGTGAGCACTCAGTGAAGAGGGCTGATGTTGGGCCAATGGGGACCGGCTCCAGCACCCTGGGCCTTATCCCCTAAGTGTACTTCCACTTACTAAGTCAACCAGACAAACAGAACCTGTGGGAAAGTAGACTGCTCTACCAGGCAGAAATGCCACCATGTTATTGGAGGGTCCCCCAGCAGTCATTCATCAGGGTCCATAAAACATTGGCTTGTTACTTAATGCAACTCTAGAAATGGCCTAAGAATGAACAAATTTGTCAAAACTTGTAATCTCAAGTAAGAATTGTCACGTATTAGGATCAGAATTTTTAAAAGTACATCTGTCCAAAAATAGATCCTGAATCAATAAATCGTTCAATTAGTGGGCTTAGTCTAGACAAAATTTGGTATGCAAACTAACTCCTAAATTACCACTTTGGTATAGACATAACTTTTGAGGTGAATGTAGCACTTTCTGCTTTGTGTAAATATATATGTATTAACTATCCATCCCATTCCACGAAGGTTTAAAGTAATGTATAAAAATACACGCAACACGAAAGAATAACATGAGTGGGGGAATCAGTTACCACTATTAAAATGTATATATGTGTGTGAGTGTTTGTGTATATATATGTATATATATATATGCCTTTCAATGTTTATAGCACTTTAGTACTTAAAGGGTCCTCAGTTCATCTAGGCGAGCTCCTGCAATTTGTAATCGAAGAAGCTGGGACCTAAAGAGGTGAGTACTTCCCAAGGTAACACAGGTGGGGCTGACAGGCCTGTGATGGGCCTCAGTAAGGAGCACCATCGTTGATGGTGTTGCAAAAAAACTCTTGTCAACTGCCCCCGCAGGCCTTCCTTTTTTCAGGCTAAATAGCCCCTTCCTCTTCAATCTTCTCAAAATGAAACATTCATGCATAAAAATCATAGTCCACATGTGGTCTGGCCAGTGCAGAGCATAAATGAACTATCCTCTTTTTAAAAATTGCTTTATTGAACATACATACAAAAAAATGAACATACAAGTGTATACATCGATAAATTGTCTCAAACCAAACACACCTTTATAACCAGCATCAAGATGAAGAAAGAACATTACCAGCACCCAGAAGTTTATAAAAATACATGTATATATGCATACATAAATATGTATCAAATTTTATATAAATATAGCAAAGACTACAGTAACTGTTTAAGGCAGTTTCATCACATTGTGGACTAAAACCCCCTTCCCCAAGCCTGCCCTGGCTGTGACGCTGTCTAACAAAGCTTTACCATTGCCCTTTTTATCTTCATCAAGCATCATTTGTTAATGTTGGTCCATTCTTTCTTATAACTTTTTTTTTCATTATATTACAAAGTCTGGTTGTTATCCAATATATTACCTACTCCTTTAGTTTTGTGTCAGCAATAAGTGATTTCTTATTTGGGTTAATCCAATAAGCAACACGGTATGTTTTCTCAGGCTTGTTCCAGCCTTTATGCCTCCAAGAACTTCTTTCAAAAAATCTTCTATCATCACGATATTATATTTGTTTGTTATTTTAAAAATGTATTGTCTTTGAATACCTGTATCAAGTGCCTTGACTTACTGGTAAAATCATGATTTTTGCAGTTCATTCAGTATCAGAAACATTCTCATGAAAACAGTCTTCATCTATCCCCATGCTACTTGACCCCTCTGAGTTCCCTCCTGTATCTCCTTCCTGTTCCGCCCTTCGGTCAGCGTATGTGACACCCTAACATAGGGAACATGTGTGCATGGTTGCATAGCCCCGGCTCACCTGGGGAGCCTCAGACTGGCTCTGCCTAAGCAGTCCCAAACTTCCTAACATCCTGTGACACATGATGAGAACAGGAAGTAGTGAGATTTCACACCTGTGCATTCCTGCTAAAAAAAAAATTGTGCAATCCAAATGAGAACAGAGAAATAAAAAAGATAACAGAGAAAAAGTATCTTGTCGAATTCTCCCCTTCACATAGTATGAGTGCAATGGATGCTTACATAGTGAGGTGTCTTTTCCCTGTGGTGCCACGTGTTCTTTTGCCTGCATCGTGTCTTGATTCCAGAGGTTCTCGTGAACTGGAGAACATCTGGACAGCTGCACATGGTAACTGTTAAGAGGTCTAGCTAGGCACAACCTACATGGAGCAGGACACCAGCTCTTTACACCGCCAACTAGGTGGACATTGAATGCTAGAGTTGCAAATAATTTTTCTATTTAAAATTGAAATATTTTAAAACTGAAAAATTCAGCTTTTAAAAGAAGTTTGATTGTAAGTTATTTTTGAATTTTTTATTAGCTGCAGGTGAACAAAATCAACATAAGGGTTAGACATTTATACACCTCACAAAGTGATAATCCTGACAATTGATTTTAAATATAAGTTTTAATTTGTATATTGCCTTTGATTTTATTAGATAATGTTGACTATTTTAGAAGAAAAAACTTTTAAAAACAAATAATTTAGAATATTTTTACATTTTATATTTTCTGAAAATGTAATTCAAATTTTGTATATGTTGACGGCAATTACATCTTATTTTTTTAATCCTTTGGATCATTACTACAGCACAAATTAAGTGAAAATCCTGACTATAACATTAGTGATTTTGCTGAAATGAAGGCAAGAACGATAATTTTATGGAATTAATGGTTTATGAGTCATGTATGTTTTTACTACTCAGGCAGACTTCAAAGCCTATGGGAACACTAGACATGTGACAATGATTACATTCAATTACCATTGTTGGTATTTTGCCAACTGTAGAATATATAAAACCTGTAGCCTTACACACATTTATTCATTTTTTTTTGAACTGTATTAGGAGGATAGAAATATCTATTTGACAATGGATTTATAACTTCGGAATATTTGGACATAGGATAAGTGGGTTTCCTTTTGTACTCTCGCTCCTGGCCCTAGGATTAGGACTGGGCTGGAAGGGGTGTCTCTGTCGCTCACTTCTGCCCCTCTTGGCAAACTCCCCACTTGATGGGCACAGGATTAGCACAGCACTAAGTTCTGCATCTAGCACCCAAAGACAGGCCACCACTCTCAGTTTTAGTCCCAAGGCCTCTGGGAAAGGACTCTGATTGGACCAGCATAGGTCAGATGACCACTTAGACCCACCAATCCTGGCCATAAGATAGAGTCACGTGATAACCTTGCAGCAACAATGAAAAACGGATGGACAATTCTAGGTTACAATGGATCCCCAACTTATCCAA